TTCATTCTCCATGTGTTTGCATATGATGTAGATTCTTTTTTTTTTAAACTTTTATTTAATGAATATAAATTTCCAAAGTACGGCTTATGGATTACAATGGCTTCCCCCCCATAACGTCCCTCCCACCCGCAATCCTCCCCTCTCCCACTCCCTCTCCCCTTCCATTCACATCAAGATTCATTTTCGATTCTCTTTATATACAGAAGATCAGTTTAGCATACATTAAGTAAAGATTTCAACAGTTTGCTCCCACACAGAAACATAAAGTGAAAAATAATAGATGATTTTTTAAATGATGATGAAATCAGATCAGACCTATTGTCATGTTTAATCCCAGTGAGAGTCAAGTTGGGAATTGATAATTTCTTCTTCTTCTTTTTTTTTTTTTTTTACAGAAGATCAGTTTAGTATACATTAAGTAAAGATTTCAACAGTTTGCACCCCCATAGAAACACAAAGTGAAATATACTGTTTGAGTACTCGTTATAGCATTAAGTCTCAACGTACAGCACATTAAGGACAGAGATCCTACATGAGGAGTAAGTGCACAGTGACTCCTGTTGTTGACTTTACAAATTGATACTCTTGTTTATGGCATCAGTAATCTCCCTATGCACCAGTCATGAGTTTCCAAGGCTATGGAAGCCCCTTGAGTTCTCCGACTCTTATCTTGTTTAGACAAGGTCATAGTCAAAGTGGAGGTTCTCTCCTCCCTTCAGAGAAAGGTACCTCCTTCTCTGAAGACCTGTTCTTTCCACTGGGATCTCACTCACAGAGATCTTTCATTTAGGATTTTTTTTTTTTTTTTTGCCAGAGTGTCTTGGCTTTCCATGCCTGAAATACTCTCATGGGCTTTTCAGCCAGATCGGAATGCCTTTAGGGCTGATTCTGAGGCCAGAGAGATTCTTGAATTGTTGATTTCCAGTGTCATTCCATTGTAGTCTGACAAGATGCATGGTATTATTTCGATTATTTTGAATTTGCTGAGACTTGCTTTATGGCCTAGTATATTTTAAATCCTAGAAAAAGTTCCATGCACTTGAGAGAAATATGTGTACTCTGTGGCTATAGAATGGAAGGCTTTGTAGGTATCTGCTAGGTCTATTTGGTCTGTGGTATTGATTAACTCTGTTTTTTCCTTGCTGATATTCTATCTGGTTGACCTGTCCATTGCTGAAAGTAGGGTTACTATTTATTTGAGTCTATATCTCCCTTTAAATTCCTTAGGAATTCTTTTAAATACCCAGATGCCCTGTAATTAGGTACATATACATTCATAATAGTCACATATTCCTGTTGGATTGATCCTTTAATCATTATGTAGAGTCCTTTGTATCTTTTAATAGTTTTTGTGTTAAAGTCTATTTTGTCTGATATTATGATGGCCGCACCAGCTCTTTTTTGGTTTCTGTTAGCATGGATTATATTTTTTTACCCTTTCACTTTCAGTCTGCAGGCATCTTTGTTGGTAAAGTGTGTTTCTTGTAGGCAGCAAATAGATGGGTTTTCTTTTTTAATTCATTCAGACAGTCTGAGTCTTTTAACTGGGGAGGTGAAACCATTTACATTCAGTGTGACTATTGTTAAATACTGTCTTTGTCCTGCCATGATTCCTTAAACAGTCCTATTTATATATTTTGGATTTCATTTGTACTTTTGCTTGGTCATTTTTTACATTCATCTTCTTTTGTAGTGATGCTCCTGTTTCTGTGTTTCTGTGTGTAGCACATCCTTGAGCATCTTTTGTAGGGCTGGGTGAGTAGTTCCAAATTCTTTTAAGAAGATCCATATTTCTCCATCATTCATAAATGAGAATTTTGCAGGGTACAGTATTCTGGGTTGACAGTTTTTTTCTCTTAGGGCTTGGAATATATCTTGCCATTGTCTCCTTGCCTGTAGTGTTTGCAATGAGTCTAATTGGGTTTCCTCTGAACGTGATTTGTTGTTTCTCTCCTGCACATTTTAAGATCTATTCTTTGTGTTTCACTGAGTTTTGCTACAGTGTGTCATGGTGATGTTCTTTTCTGGTCATGTCTATTGGGAGTTCTGTGTATTTCTTGTACTCAGATGTCTCTTTCTTTCTCCAGATTAGGGAAGTTCTCTGTTATTATTTCATTAAGATGGCCTTCTAATCCTTTCTCTTTTTCCACAGTTTACAGAATTCATAGGATCTGTAAATTGGGTTGTTTGATAGAAAATTGTAAATCTCCAACCGTGATTTTTTAGTTTTCCAGTTTCTTCTTCTTGTATTTGGTCTGACTGTATTATTTCAGGAAATTTGTCTTCTAATTCTTACATTCTTTCTTCTGTCTCATCTATTCTATTGCTAAGACTTTCCACTGCATTTTTTATTTGATCTATTGAATTCTTCATCTCCAGTATTTCATTCTGGCTTCTCTTTAAAATCTCAATTTCTTGGGAGTGCTTTTCATTTAGGTGGTGAATTTGCTTCTGATTGCCTTTAAGTAGTCTGACTATTAATTTTCTGAATTCCTTTTCTGGCATATCCTCGATCTCTTCTTCTTCAGCCTCCATTATTGAAGAGTTATATTGTTCCTTTGGGGAGTTCATAGAGTCTTCCTTATTCTTATTCTGGATTTTTCCTTTGTTCTTAGGCATTTCTGGTTGATTTTGTCTTTAATTTGTGACTTTGTGCCTGTGTTGCGATTTCCCTCTGCTATGACCTGCTATGTGTCTGTGTGTTGCAAGTGGAAGCACGGCAGCCCTGCCTCCTGGAGCCCTGTTTACTTCTAGATTGTGATGGAGGTGGGTACCAGGGCTTTGGTGCACTAAGCCCTGCCTACTGGGGCTGGGCTTGCTTCTCACTGGTGCATGAAATGAGCTCAGGGTTTCACTGTTTAAGACTAGTCCTTGTTGTACAGCTTGCATGGTGGGGAGGAAATCACTCTGAAATGTTGTGATCCTTGTTCCTGGGTGGGGGGTGTTGTGAGGTGGCCCCCACAATTGATGGATGTGTGTGCAGGAGGCAGCCATTGGCAGACCCCTGCTTACACTCAAAAATGTGAACAATCAATATGGATTCTCCCTGCCAGCTGTAGGTCCCATTGTGGGGAGAGGGGAGACATAGATGGACTGTGGTGTGCCCAACCTCTCTGCTTCTTCCCCTATAATTTCTCCTTCTTCCTGCTTGGAGCTTCAAACACAGTTCACCAAGCTTCTGTGCCTGCCGCTATTCTGTAGCTCCGTAGACTCCTGACTTCTTACCTGGTTCACTGCTGGGGGTGGTGCCAATCTTCTCATTCAGTCTCTGCTGTATCTTCGCTGTGTTTCCACCTCTTCTCTTTGTTCCCTTAGCGTGGACATGAGCAATCTCCGGTGGACTCCTGGGCTACTCTGCGCAAACTTCTTGAGATTCCGTCACCGGCTTGTATCCCTTTGCTTATTAACTATTTTTCCCTGCATGACTTGGAATGTCCTGTTGCTATACTGCCATCTTGTAGCTTATATCTTAGATAGAGATCTTCTATTTGGTGGCTTACTTTCCAAATGGCCTCAATGGCCAGGGCTAGGCCAGGCTCAATCCAGTAGCCAGAACCTACATCCAGATCTTCTACATGGGTGGAAGGTGTTAGGTTTGGAATAGCTCGGGGTTCTGGCCTTTTGTACCTCCAGAAAAGGGAGATGGAACCGACCTCAAAAGAGACAGGGTGCTTTGTTGAAGCGAAGAGGGCTGGCAATCTGTTCTTGTGAATAGACTGCACGCAGGGTACATGGTGGGCTGGGTTTTTATCTGGTTGAAGAGGAGGTTTGCAGCTGATGTGAGGTAGCAAGTAAGGGGCTTTTAGAAACCACTGGGAACTTTCCTCTTATCTGTTCCACAAGCAGCCATGTGCAGCTGCTTTGCATGGAGTCTGGGGGAGGTTGAGCCTGGTTCTTGCATCAAGGATCTCACAAAAAAGGGGAGTACATGGCCAGAGGGTAGGGAAAGGGGGAAGGGAGGGCAGGAATAGGCAACATGCTCTTTAGAAGGGAGCTAAATACTTGGGCTGCCTTCTCCTTTCCAGGTGCATAAACGGGGAACTGGTTCAGAAGTGGAGCATCCAGGACTCAAACGGGTGCTCATGTGGCATGCCGTTGTTGCACCACAGTGCCAGCCCCATAGGCTGTGTCTTTTTTTTTTTTTTTTTGAAAGTTTTTTTATTTATTTGAAAGACTGAACTGGTGTCTATATGGATGCTGGTGTTGCAGGCTGCGGCCTTAACCACTATACCACAACGTTGGCCCCAGGCTGTATCTTAAACCTCTTAGTGTGCCCACCTCCAGAATGTCTGACTTAATTTTGTTATGGCCTGTGTGCGTCTGTGGGTACTGGTTATTCTTAGAGCATGGAAGGTTCTTCAGATTTAGAGTATAGCTTCATTACCGTCCTAGAAATGTTTTATTCTGTGTTATCTTTTAGGAGAGAAAAAAAAGGATGAAGTCTTATCTCTCTACCAAAACTTCAAATCCTTGACAGTTTCTTTTTCCCTGTCTCCTTCCCTCAAACATTTAAATTTTTTAAAAAAGATTTTGTTTATTTATTTGAAAAGCAGAATTATAGAGACAGAAGGTGGGAGAGAGAGAGAGAGAGAGAAAATTTTCCATCCACTGGGTCACCCTCCAAACTGGCTGCAATGGCCAGGGCTGGGCCAGGTTGACTCCAGGAGCCTGGAACTCTTTCTAGGTCTCCCACATGGGTGGCAGGGCTCCAAGTACTTGGGCCATTTTCTGCTGCCTTCCCAGGTGTGTTGGTGGGGAGCCTGATTGGAAATGGAACAGCTGGAGTTTGAATTGGTGCTCATGTGGGATGCTGGCATTGACTTAACCTGCTGTGATACAATACCAGCCCCAAAACATTTAATCTTTCATGCTAGGAGACTCTTACTAGAGTCTGGAAATGTAAAAGAAGAATAAGATACAGGTTGTTTGGTTTTTGCTGCTAATTAGTTAAATAAGTGACCAGTTAAACCCATTTTTTTTCGGTTTTTATTTCAATTCAGACTCAGGGCAAAGGTGGGAAAAAAGTTATCCAGACTGATGAGTGGAGGAATAGTCCCATTGAAGAGCGCCTTGAGTATGCCCTCGTCAAGGTGAGTTGTGGGAACCTGAACTGGCTGTCTGATACTGGTGCTGGAGGGGAGTGATGACTGCAGCTGGAGGAGATGCCCTAAACCACTGTTCTGTAATGCCCTGCCCATGCAGCATAGTTGACAATAGCCATAGCCGTGTTTGTCACAACTGGTTGTGGGAGGTATTACTGGCATCCATGGCTAAGAATGCTAATTGTCTTAAGTGCTCAGGACAGCCTCACACAATGAAAAATTTCTAGCCCAAATATCCGTAGTGCTGAAGTTGAGAACACTGTCCTATACCATGCTGCTTTGACTTCCTCAGCAAGGTAGTCCTGACTCTTCTACTGACAAATACAATTATAGGCAAGATAAATTATCTCTTGGCTTCAGTTTCCTTATTTATGCATCTGGAGAGCTTTAGATTTCTTTTTTCAAAAAATTTTTTAAAGATATATTTATGGGGCTAGTTCTGTGGTATAGTAAGTTAAGCCCCTGCCTGTGGTGCCGGTTTGAATCCCAGCTGCCCTGCTTCTGATCCAGCTCCCTGTTAATGGCCTGGGAAAGCAGTGGAAGATGGCCCAAGTCCTTGGGCCTCTGCACCCATGTGGGAGACCCAGAAGAAACTCCTGGCTCCTAGCTTCAGATTGGCCCAGCTCTGTCATTGTGGCCATTTGGGGAGTGAAGCAGGGGATAGAAGATTTCTATCTCTGTCTCTCCCTTACTCTGTCTATAAGTCTGCCTCAAATAAATAAATAGTAAGAAAAAAATTTAAAAAAAAGATTTACGTATCTGTTTGAAAGTAAGAGTTAGAGGGAGAGACACACAGAGAGATATTCCATCAATTGGTTTACTCCCCAGATGTCTGCAATCTCCCGGGCTAGGTCAGGCCGAAGCCAGGAGCCAGGGACTTCACCCTGGTCTCCCGCGTTGGTGTAGGGGCCCAAATGTTTGGTCCATCTTTTGCTGCTTTTCCCAGGCCATTAGCAGAGAGCTGGATTAGAAGTGGAGCAGCTGGGGGTTGAATTGGTGTCTATATGGGATGCCAGTATTATGGTGTCAGGTTTGCGCTCTATACCACAACACTGGCCCCTCAATTTTTTTTCTTTAGAATTTGATTTAACTCTTGGAAATTTTTTTTTAAGATTTATTTATTTATTTGAAAATCAGAGGTGCAGAAAGACACACACACACATATCCTCCATCTGCTGGTTCACTCCCCAGATGGCCACAATGGCTGGAGTGAGCCAGGTGGAGCCAGGAGCCAGGAGCTTCTTCCAGGTCTCACATGTGGGTGCAGTGGCCCAAGGACTTGGGCCATCTTCTGCTGCCTTCCTAGGCATGTTAGCAGGGAGCTTGATCAGAAGTGAAGCAGCCAGGATTTGAACTGGTGTCCATATAGGATGCTGGTGCTACAGGCAGCAGCTCAACTTAGTATGTCATAATGTCGGCCCCTCTTGGACCTTTTGAGGTTCTCATATTTCAGTTTGTTGAACTTATCAGCAGCATCCAAGCATCCTTGAGGAGGAAGTCTTGGCAATGAAAGCCAGATGATCAGAGCTGAACTGGCTTCGTGGACTTAGCCTCTTCTAAGGGCTCTTCCCATTGTCATTCCTCACCAGCCCCATACCATTACAGTGAGAAAATCTGTTGATTTCACTGAGATGTTTATGAATGTCTAGTCTATTAAAACACTAGGATACAAAGTGTATGGTATTATGAGTTTGGACTTTTAGTAGTTCTTTTACTAAAAGCTGAGTACTTAGTATCAGTGATGACAATTAGGCACTTTACATGTGTTATTTCATTTAATAATCCTCAAAATATATGTATGCGGTAGGTACTGTTGTCATTCTGACTGTGGAAACTAATGCTTAATCAACTGCCTAAATTAGAGGTAGGAGCCAGAATTCATACCCATGCAGTCTAATTATAGAACCTGGGGTCTTATAGCATTTCTGTGCTTCATATTTTGTTGGCCATTTGGATTAAGCCAATTTGGGGTATGTGTGTGTGTTTTCATCTATCTTTTCCTTTTTTTCTTCTTCTTTTTTTTTTTGTAGGGCATTGAAAAATATATTATTGAAGATACAGAGGAAGCCAGATTAAATCAGGAAAAATATCCCCGACCCCTGAATATAATTGAAGGCCCGCTGATGAATGGCATGAAAGTTGTTGGTGATCTTTTTGGAGCTGGAAAAATGTTTCTACCTCAGGTTGGCAAACAATAGGAAGGCATTTTCAGAATCAACCTTTTCTTTGTCTTTTAAAAATAGTAAGTTGGGAACCATCTGTAAATTCTTAGTGTTGTAATCTAATCTTTATGTTAGGATACTTTTGTATCACCTCTTGCCTCCAGTTCCTAGAACTTTTCTCTTGAAAGTAAAACAAACTCAACTTCAAATGTAAAGTTAATATTAAGATTTGATCTGGCCAGCCAGTATCCAACTTTAGGGATGTTTAACTTGAAAAATATTACTGTTTTATATGGTCATGTGTTTCAAGTAAACCAGAACTCTTTTGATTTGTAGCAGCTACTAACCACATCAGTTGAGAAATACATGTTGACTATCTAGGATAGGGCCATGAAAAACTACCCTCTTCTTGTGTAAGCTTAAGGCTTAGTTTTAAGTGAGTTGTAATGCTGGAGATTGAGAAGAGAAGGCTGGGAATGAGCTCATGGAGGAGAGGTTTGGAACCTGAAAGATTTGTGGAACTTAGAGAAGTGTTAGAGGGCTTTCTAGGCAGAGGAAAATAGAACAAGCAGAGGTTCCCAGGCCTGAAATTGCAACATTTTATTTTTGGTCTTGTTTTCTTTCTGCTGTATCTCATTCATTGGCTGCTTACAGGGAGGGAACATGTTCTTTGTCCTGCTCACTGACAAAAGCAGCCTGCAATGGAGCTGGCCTGAGGTCAAGTCCTGCATTCTAAGCTGCTGAGGTTTCCCCAGTGGCCATTAGCAGCTCCTGTAGTTTGGTGAAGATGCCTGACTCTGCTTTTTTCCCCAGGTTATAAAGTCAGCTCGTGTCATGAAGAAGGCTGTTGGCCACCTTATCCCCTTCATGGAACAAGAAAGAGAGGCTAACAGAGGACTTAATGACGCTGCAGAAGAAGAGGTAAGTCATTTTGTCCAGGCCTGTGGGTCATTTAAGAAGTTGGTGTGGAACACTCTTGTTGGGTTAGGGTTAGAGGCAGTTAGGCTTGCCTGTGTTTGTTACTGAATATAAAATAGGCAAATGCTCCGACATCTATCTCTTTTACCAATTAGCATAATATCTGGGATTTTCTTTTAAATTTGATCTTATGAAATTTTTGGTAGAGTCATAATCGTAGTCAAAACCTAATGATTTCAGACAAAACGGGTTCGTTTCTTCAGCAGGCACTGTCACTACAAAGATTTGAGGAAAAGGAGTTATGTTTGTTTTTGGAACACCCATTGTTGTCTCTGTACCGGTAATGTCCTTGGCATTACTTCTGGATTCAATTTAATTCCTGCTGGCTGCATCACCAGAGTAATCCTTGAGCTTTCTTTTAGATGTTTGTTTATTTGACAGGCAGAAATACAGAGAAGGGAGAGAGAGAGAGATAGAGAGGCAGGGAGGGAGGGGGAGAGAGAATTTTCTATCCGCTGGTTCACTCTGTAAGTGACCACAATGGCCAGGACTGGGCTAGGCTGAAGCCAGGAGCCAGTAGTTTCTTCTGGGTCTCCCACATGGGTACGGAGGCCCAAGGACTTGGGCCATCTTCTACTGCCTTCCCAGGCCATAGCAGAGAACTGGATTGGAAATGGAGGAGCTGGGACTTGAACTGGTGGCCATATGGGATGCCGGCACTGTAGGCGACAGCTTTACCTGCCACGCCACAGCACCAGCCTCATTCTTTTTGACCTTGTATAGCTCCATTCTTAATTCTTAAATTGATTGGAGTTTGTGAATGGCCCAGACAGTTTATAAAATCCCACTTGTCTTTTTCTGTTTGTGAGGGAGGAGGCTGCTGGCAGTGCACAGAAGAACCATATTAAATAAACAGAAAGGTAATCAGATGCCCTCTGCACTGGGCTGGTGTGGTGGTTTTGCAGGTTCTGCTGGAATGTATGCAGTTAACCAACTCCTCCCTCTCTCTTCTCCCTCTCCTTTTATTGTTAACAATAAACATTTGGCAGGCAGTTATGGGGAGTTGAGGGTATAGTCTTCAGCTGTGAGACTGTGTTGTGTTTTACCTGTTGTTTGGGGTTATGGGATCCATGATTTCAGTTGAAGCCCCTTGGACTAACCTACTAGATGGGCTTCCTTTGATCTGCTTAGGCGCACCACAGTCTTCCTGCAGACACCACTGTTGAGTTTCCACATCTGTCCGAGGTTGTTCTGGTTGTATTAGATTCCTTCTGTGCTACCCCCTGTCTGGCTCTGGAGAACTGGGTGATCTGCCCTTAGTGACCCCAGCCTGCTTAGCTGCCTGGCTTACTTTCTAGGATCCTTACCAAGGCACCATTGTGCTGGCTACTGTTAAAGGTGATGTGCATGACATAGGCAAGAACATTGTTGGAGTCGTCCTTGGCTGCAATAATTTCAGGTAAGTTACCACTTCACCTCCTTCAGTCTCCTTTCTCTCTAGAACTGAAAGCATTTCAACAGAGTAATTCTTCATTGGGAGGGAGAGGCAGTAAATATTAAAGGTTATGTTTTACTTCTTTTTGTTAACTATATTTTCAAGTTTTCTATAGCGAACACAGCTTTTCAAATAAAGTAAGTTGGTAATTATCTATTATGTATTCAGTAGTGGGGTCAGAGCAACCAAGAAGCTTCCTGGGAATTGACATTGGCACACAGGATCTATGTTCAGCTGCTCCTCCCTGTGGCTCATGGTGGTCAACATATTCTACTTTTTTTCTCAGTAAACCGTCAGATTTTAGAGCTGAGAGCTTATAATTGGCTAAATGGAATTTTATATGAAGGCCATGTCTGTATGTCTCTTCATGCTTTGCCTACAGCAGGACCCTGTGTGTTACTTGGTGATGTTCAAGTTAATTTTGGAATGTTGTATATATAAGCAAAACCCCTTTCTGCTATATATCATTATAATGAATCAATATTCATAATACTGTTACTTTCCAGTGTGCTATTTTCTCTAGATCTATCTAGATCTTCTGTAGAAGAGAACTGACTGTAAGCTGTAACTGTGCTCCTTAGAGAATTCTCTTCTCTGTTGTCAGATGACAATCACTCTAAGCCCCCTTCTTATGCCAACATTTTATCCATCTCTGCTTAAATTTAAGGTTGGTTAAATGGAAACCTGGTATAGTTGGTTTCCATTTGCATTCATCACAATCAGTAAAAATACAATTCAATTGATAATTATTATTATTATTTTTTTTAATGTCAGTTGCTATCTAGTAGGCAGTGTACTAAAGATACTGGATAATTTAGTCAACTTTTCTCCTTTCATGAAGTTTACTGTTTATCATGCTAAATAGCCCACTATACATTCAACCATGGTACTGAGACAAGAAACATTGAAGAAGGTGACTTGGAGGTAAACTTCCTAGAAACAATTCCTTTTTTTAAAAAAAAATATTTATTTATTTATTTGAAAGGCAGAATTATAGTGACAGAGGGAGAGGGAGAGAGGGAAGGAGAGAAGGAGGGAGAGAGAGAGAGAGAGAGAGAAAGAGAGAGAGACCTTCTGTACTTGCCAAATGGCTGCAATGGCTAGAGAGAGAGAGAGAGACCTTCTGTACTTGCCAAATGGCTGCAGTGGCTAGGGCTGGGCCAGGCTAAAGCCAGGAGCATCTGGTTGTTAGTGGTCTAAGTACTTGGCGATCTTCCCCTGCTTTTCCAGGCACATTAGCAAGGAGCTAGATGGGAAGTGGAGCAGCCAGGACTCAAACCAACAGTAATATGGGGTGCTGGCATTGCAGGCAGTGGATTAACCCACTGTGCCACGTCACTGGCCGCTAGAAGCGATTCTTGAGATATCTTTGCCACATGCTTTATCATTATTTATTTTGATCAGTGGATGATTATCTTGGAACATCATACTAAGGAATATTTTTCCTCTCAGTAAAGACATTTTAAGAGACCCTGGAGAATTACGGCATTGCTCCAGGGTGCCACTGGAACTGAATGTCAAGCTGTGAAGGCTGCTTATTAAACCCGAGGCTTTTCTGCAGCACATCCAGGTCCTGTCTTTTGCACTGAAGGTTTGCTTATCTTTGCCAATAAATCTTACTGGGGGAATGTTTTCTGATGAAACTTTAATTTCTTTTCCCAGAAAAATGAGTGAACATGTAAACTTCCTAATTAGAGTCTAGAAGCCTTTTGGCTTACATTTCATAACACACAGCCTCTTGCATTGATGAGTTTTATTTTATAGTGTCAGCAAGTAGGCAAATGCCTTATGTAGTAATGTGCACTTTTGCTGAGTGGCAGCGTGACACTGGTGCGCTTGTGTGAATCAGCCAGCTAGTGAGTGAGTCCAGCAGACCATCCACTTTCAAATCCTCTTTCCTGGCTTTTTGTCACTGATGCAGTAAATCTCACAAAAGAATAAAAATGTTTTTCTCTGTGGGGAAGGAAACTAAAAATGATAGTGTCTTCTTAGGAAATTATATTTTGTGGGGAAGCTGATATGATGCAATTGAACTTGCAAATTTGAGGATTTGAATAGATCTAGGGATGAATTCACCAAGGGTCTGCTAATACCTAACTTTTGCTTACCATTTCACAAAGTCTACAGTGCTTTTATGTCAGTGATTTCTTTCTCTTTTTCCTGGTTTTGTTTCTATTTTGTGGCTCCTTTACTTTCTTTCCTTTGATCTTTCCTTTTTTTCCATGGTTTTCTTCCTGTCCTGCCTGCTTTGGAGCTATTTCATTTCCCAACTTACAAATGGAAAAATGAACTTAGAGAACTTAAGTATTTTTTTTTCATGGTCACACAGCTAACAAGTAGCAGGCTAGGCTCAGGGCTTCTGATTCTAAAAGCTGGGACTTTGTACTGTTTCACTTTACTTTGTGTGTGTGTGTGTCTGTGTGTTTATACTTTCAAAGAACCTTAACTGTAATGTCTAATGTGATTATTCTAGATTCCCTTTAAGAAATAAAGGGAATATTTAGAAATGTTTTGATTAGATTCTTGGTTATTTTAATTTTTGATTAAAAAAGACAAATTGAGACTTTCTATATTTAACAGAAAATGCACACTGTTGAATTGGTAAGAAAAAGTGTGATATGTCAATGGAAATTCCAAAATTTATATATCACATCTAGCATTTTAGAAAATATGGATCTGATGAAAAAGATAATGAGGCATATTTGTATTTGAAAGGCCAGTTCTTTTTTTTTTTTTTTTAAAGATTTGTTTATTTATTTGAAAGAGCTACTGAGAGAGAGAGAGAGAGAGAGAGAGAGGGAGAGGGGGAGAGAGAGAGAGGTCTTCCATCTGATGGTTCACTCTCCAGTTGGCCACAGTGACCGGAGTTGCGCTGATCTGAAGCCAGTAACCAGGAGCTTCTTCCAGGTCTCCCACTCAGTGCAGGGGCCCAAGGACTTGGGCCATCTTCTACTGCTTTCCCAGACCATAGCAGAGAGCTGGATTGGATGTGGAACAGCCGGGTCTCGAATTGGTGCCCATATAGGATGCTGGTGCTTCAGGCCAGGGCATTAACCCGCTGCTCACAGTGCCAGCCCCAGACCAATTGTTCTTAATATAATTTTCTGGTATGAGTAAAAAAAATAAGGGGGCAACAAATAGGTGTGAATGAAAATGGTTTGTATAATAGAATATTCAGCTTAGTGAGGAAAGTAGGTAAGTTATTGGGGCACACTGATCCCATCTTTCTTGCACACCTTCACATGTTCACAGTATTTATTTAAAGGCTTTTAAAGCAGAAACTTGCAGAGTTTTGTTTTGCTTATTGCTTTTAAAGCAGATGTGACAACAGACCCTATTAACCCACTTAACCATTGAAGACCATGAATGGGGATTGTAGACTTGGAGGGCACTGCCATCTAGTGGTAAATCATGTGAATTGCAGGAGCAGCAGATAGACTGCACCTACCTTAGTTAACAGAGTAATATGAGTAAAGGGTTAAGGGACAACAAGTATTTGTTATCTTAAAGGGATGCAGATGCAGTTCATTTTCCTTTTAAATTTTTCCTCAAAAGGAAAATGACTTTTTGTTTGATATTTTGGTATTTATTTTCTAAATTCTATATATTCTTAAATAATATTGGACGCTTTTGCTAAAGCGTTCAGTGCAGTTTACATTTTTTTTCTGAATTAGAAACCCAAATGAAATTATTGTACTTATACCTCTATTCAAAGTATTTTAGAGGGCCGTGTTGTGGCTCACTTGGTTAATCCTCTGCCTGTGACGCCGGCATCCCATATGGGTGCCGGTTCTAGTCCCGGTTGCTCCTCTTCTAGTCCAGCTCTCTGCTGTGGCCCGAGAGGGCAATGGAGGATGGCCTAAGTGCTCGGATTGGCGCAGCTCCAGCCGTAGCAGCCATTTGGGGAGTGAACCAATGGAAGGAAGATCTCTCTCTGTGTCTCTCTCTCTCACTATCTATAACTCTACCTGTCAAATTAAAGAAAAGTATTTTAGAAACAAACTTTCATTTTTATTCTTTGAAATCTCTAATATGGCAAAATGCAAGAATGTATATAAGGAGAGGCTGATAGACATGAGGTATGGTGCAGAGTAACAAAGGGAAACCAAGGGAGAGTCAAGGAGGATGGGGGTCTACGTGGGGGAAGCAGGTATAGGGGAGGGAATGTTTGGGGATGATCTGGCCCATGCCCTCCTTGCCAGGACCCATGTTCCCTAGGGGCTTCGAGCAGGTTCATAATTGTGCACCTTCATGATGCAAGCCTTTGTCTAGACTGCCTTCAGTTGCCTTCATTCTAGCTAATATCTGCTTTATTTATTTTTTTGGAGAATTCAGCTCAGACATCCTCTTGGGATGCTTTGTCATTCTGTAGCAACACTATAAAAGCCTCCGTTCTAGCACTGATATTCTAACTCACTCTGCATTCTAAGTCAGAGCTTGCCAGCAGTTTCTCAACTCATGTGCCAAGAAACACAATTCCTATCCCTTTCAGTGGAACTCGGGGCAGCATGAATTCTAACTTGGTTGCCTAGGGCTGTGAGCAACCTCCTTTGTGTGTCTCAGCACCATGGTATTATTTTCTCTGTGTGGAAAAGGTTGGGAAGTGCTCTTACAGTCAGTGGTGTAAGTGACCGTTCTTCAATAAGACTTCTTTGGAGGTAGGCTACTAAGATGGAAACTGAGCTTGCATCCAAGTCTCCTGACTCACTGTTCTCAGTCCACGTCTTTGCTCACTTACCAATGGCTGTCATTTTGTTTTCTAGTTCCCTAAACATGGGAACTGATTACATCTGATTAAGGGAGGTCAAGACTTGAGGTTCTACATTTTCAGTGAGCCCTTAGGTAATGCTGATGCAGCTGACAGGAGTCTACCCTGTCAAGGGCAATGTTGGGCTTGCATCTTCTCATCCAGTCTTATGATTTTATTATCATTTAATAATCTGACAGGTCACCATTTTACCTCCGGTTTGGGTTTATCCCCAAAACTCCAGACTTGACTATCTGAGGGCTCCATTTGGATATCTAAAGAAATCTCAAACTTAATATTTTAAAACTGAGCTGATCACCAACATCTTGTGAACACCTCTGTCTCCCTGTTTCAATAAATGGCAAATCCAGCTTTACCACTCAAAGAAAACCCCTGGAGTTGTCTTGAACTTCTCTGTTCTCTCATATCCCACATGTGATCCACAGATCTACTCTCAGTGTTTCTAGGACCTGACCACTTCTCACCACCTACACAGCTTCCTGCCTGGGTTTCTGCAGCAGCCTCTCTCTGCTTCTACCCTGTACTGTTTTCCCTGCATTGTTTTCCAGTCCAGAGTAAATCTATTAAAACTTTTGTCAGATTTCTTGCTCCATGGTTTACATGCTTCACTGACTTCCCTTCTCTCTCACTAAAGTCCAGAGCGCTTGTAGTAGCCTTCAAGACTCTCCATCTGTGGTTCAACCTGGGAGCTGCTTGGGCCCCACCTATGGCCAATTTAATTGCAGTCTCTGGGGATGGCATCCAAGATTTAGTTTGATTTTGAAAACCGCTCCTGTGGTGATTCTGATGTGCAATCTGCAGGCACTTGCCTGCTCCTTCTCTTTGAATTCATCACCCACAGCTTTCTCCTTCCTGGTTGCTGTTCCAGCCACAACAGTCCCTTTGCTCTTTCTCAAATAAGGCAAACCTGCCTGCATATGAGATGTTCTTGAAAGAACCAGTGCTGAAAAAAAGAAAAAGCAGTAGGAGCAAGATGATTTCTTGCTACCAAACAGATGATTTTTAATTTTTTTTTTTTTTTTTTTTAAGATTTATTTTTTCCTTACTTGGAAGGCAGAATTACAGAGACAGAGAGAGAGGCAGGAAGGGGGGAGGGCAGAGAGAGAGAGGGAGGGATGGAGGGAGGGAGGGAGAAAGATATGCCTTTTAGCCACTGGTTCACTCCCCAAATGGCTGCAACTGCCAGGGCTGGGCCAAACTGAAGCTAGGAGCCAGGGACTTCTTCCAGGTCTCCCACATGACTGCAGGGTCCCAAGCCCCTTGGATGGATCATCTTCTGCTGCTTTCCCGGGCACACTAGCAGGGAGGTGGATTGGAAGTGGAACATACTTGAACCAGTGCCTATATGGGATGCCAGCGTTGCAGGCAAAGGCCTAACCTGCTGTGCCACATTGCTGACCCCTTTTAATTGAATTTTAGAAATATCTGCAATGTTGAAAAAAAGTAAGCTTTGAAATGCATGCCTTTTTGTCTTGATTTAAAAGCAGTATACTGTTTTGCCTAGTTTTATATGCAGCTATTCTATACTTAATCATTGTTTAACAAAAAAAAATGCATTTACTGGATGTTCTTCAATATGTTTTTTTCAAAAGGTATTGTGGTAGCATTTTACTTCTGTTAAAACCTCAGTGGTTATACATCATTAGCACCTCCAGTATTTGCTCCTGGGTTAGCACTAATAACGCTGAATATAGTTATCATTGATTTGAAATTGTCTTACCTTTTACCACAGATTCTGTATCTGCTAATTTTTTTTAAATCCTTTTAAAAAAGGTAATGTGGGAGACCGGTGCTGTGGCAAAGCAGGTAAGGCTGCCACCTGTAGTGCCAGCATCCCAGATGGGCACCAGTTTGAGTCCCTGCTGCTCTACTTCTGACCCAGCTCTCTGCTGTGGCCTGGGAAAACAATGGAAGATGGCCCAAGTCGTAGGGCCTCCATACCCATGTGGGAGACCTGGAAGAAGCTCCTGGCTCCTGGCTTCGAATCTGCACAGTTTGGCCATTGGTGGCCATCTGGGGAGTGAACCAGTGGATGGAATGACCTCTATCTCTCTTTCTCTCTGCCTCTCTGTAACTCTGCCTTTCAAACAAATAAATAGATCTTTAAAAAATATGTAATGTAGAAACAAACTAAAAATCCAACAGGATAGGAGGGCATACAGTGAGAAATAAGTCTCCTTGCAGCCCAGGTGTCCAGCAGCCGATTACCAGCTGATATGGCATGTCTGAGTGTCTTCCAGTAGCTATTAAGCATTCTTTGTTTTTATTTAAACATTTTTGCCTATTTAATTTTAAGAACTGTTGACATCATAAAATAGGTGGGAATGAATGCTGTAATGTTTTAAAATATTTATTTATTTGAAAGGCAGAAAGAAAGGCAGAGAGGCATAGACAGAGAAATCTTCCATCTGCTGGTTCACTCTCCAAATGCCCACAACAGCTGGAGCTGGGCCGATTTGAAGCCAGGAGTCAGGAGCTTCTTCTTGGTCTCCCACATGGGTACAGGGGCACAAGTATTTGGGTTGTCTTCTGCCGCTTTCCCAGGTACATTAGCAGGGAGCTGGATCGAAAGAGGAGCAGCTGGGACTTGAACTGTTGCTCATATGTGATACTGCTGCTACGGGCAGCAGTTTTATCTGCTGTGCTACAGTGCTAGCCCTGAATGCTATAATTTTTAAAACAGCTTTTAACAAATGCTCATAACAAATTTACATTGTAAAAATGACTTACTGTGGGCGCTCTCTTAATCTAAAACAGGCAAAAGTCATACAGAGAACATTTTCCATGGCAGACATTCCTTTCCTCTGAGTTCCAGGAGGGTTTCCTCCTTCATTAATTGAGGTTCCTCTGGCATTATTTTGTTTTCTCAGCCTAGCTCCAGTGTTTTTTTTTCCCCCAGTGCCTGTCTCTTTCTCTCTCTCGTGTGTGTGTGTGTGTGTGTCCATCTAGAGTCTGCCTTTCCTTAAGTCTTGTCCCCCTTTCTTGCTGACCTGCCCCCTGAGTTTTTCTCCCTTTCCTTGCCTTGCCTTAAGAAGCCAGATTTCCCCATCATCAGCTCTTCCTGTGCAGGAACTGACCTCCTCATTGACTTCTTTTTTTTTTTTTTTTTTTTGACAGGCAGAGTGGACAATGAGAGAGAGAGACAGAGAGAAAGGTCTTCCTTTTGCCATTGGTTCACCCTCCAATGGCCGCCACGGCCGGCGCACCACGCTGATCCGAAGGCAGGAGCCAGGTGCTTCTCCTGGTCTCCCATGTGGGTGCAGGGCCCAAGGACTTGAGCCGTGTTCCACTGCACTCCCGGGCCATAGCAGAGAGCTGGCCTGGAAGAGGGGCAACTGGGACAGAATCCGGCGCCCCGACCGGGACTAGAACCCAGTGTGCCAGCGCCGCAAGGCGGAGGATTAGCCTAGTGAGCCACGGTGGCGGCCTCATTGACTTTCATGTTTTAGCAGATACTTATTAAGCAACTTCCCCAAGATTTTTTAAATATCCTAAATGGATAAAATAGTGGGTTTTGGTGCCAAATACTGATTTAGCTTCTAAGACTGTGAATTAGTTGTGGGACTGGACAAGTTGCTTAACTTTTTTAGGCCCTTCCTCATTAAAATGGGGCAACAGCTGTATTTTCATCTAAGAGTTGCTATGAAGGGTAAATGAGATGGCTTATTCAAAAAACTTAGGGGGAACAACCCAAGTGTCTTTCAGCAAATGAATGGATAAACATTCATCCTTAAAAAAGGATGAAACTCTGACATGAACACTGAATACATTGTGCTAAGTGAAATAAACCAAATATGGAAGGACAAATACTTTATGATTCTACTTGTGTGAAATATCTAGATTAGGCAGATTTATAAAGATAGAAAGTAGAGGTTACCAGGAGCTGAGTTACAGGCAGAGTTGGAAGAAAGAAACCAGAGTTATTGCTTGATAGATACAGTGTTTCTGTTTGGTGTGATAAAATAGTTTTGGAAGTAAATAGTGGTGATGTAACTGTAATCAATGTCACTGAATTTTACACCTAAAAATGCTTAAAATGAAAAATAATGTATATTTTACCAGTTAGAAAATAACAGAAACCACTGAATTATACACATTACATGGTTGAATTATATGGAGTGTGAATTATAACGCAGTAAAGCTATTCTAAAAGTTGAGCATAGTACTTGAATATACTCAGTGCCTAATCAATGGTGGCTGACAGTGGTAGCATTGGTTCATATTTAATGAGCATTTTGTTGTGATTCCAGTTTACGTTAGAACAGTTTTTAATGACATAAATTTTAAAAATGTTCATTTCAGCTTTGTCTTTAATGGATTCTCGTTAATTTTCTCTCATCTCATTTTTGTGCCATAGAGTTATTGATTTAGGAGTCATGACTCCCTGTGATAAAATACTGAAAGCTGCTCTTGACCACAAAGCAGGTATTGTGTGACTATACTTTGGACATTTCACTACATATCATTTCCCTAAGAGTCCCTCTGTCAGTGAATAGTAATGTCCCAGCCCAGGTAGAATCCATGGGACCCTGAGATGAAAGTGCCAGCTCCTGCATGGAGCTGTTGTGGCCAGTTACATTGGGGAATGAGAGAGGGGCATCGTGACTGTGGAACTCTTTTTTTTTTTTTTTTAAAGATTTATTTATTTATTTGAAAGTCAGAGTCCAATAGAGAAAGAGAGAGAGGTATTTTCTATCTGTTGGTTCACTCCCCAAATGGCTGCAATGGCTGGGGCTGGGCCAGGCTAAAGCCAGGAGCCAGGAGCTTCTTCTGGATCTCCCATGTGGGTGCAGGGGCCTGAGTACTTGGGCCATCCTCTGTTGCTTTCCTAGGTGCAAGAAAAGGGAGCTGGGTCAGAAGTGGAGCAGCTGGGACTCGAATTGGTACCCACATGTGATGCTGGCATTGCAGACTTGTGGCTTAACCTGATGTGCCAGACCCCATGGGACTCCTTTCAACCTCTAGATGAGTAGAATAGGGCCAACTTGTTATAAGAGAATGGTTGTATTAGATTTTTTTCCCCCTGTATGTAATCATTTTTTGAAAACTGGAACATATTCAAGTCTGACAATTCATGAACTAGGGCTATCTTTTTTTTTTTTTTAAAGATTTTATTTATTTATTTACTTGAAAGTCAGAGTTACACAGAGAGAGGAGAGGCAGAGAAAAAGAGAGGTCTTGTATTGTATGACTTCTTAAAACTTGGTGAGTTCATTCTTGCAACTTAAAAGTTCTAAATTCTGTTTACTAACAAAAACAAACAAGAAATTGAAATTCCCCAATCAGAAAAAAATGTCTTAGAAACAGAAATCGAGAATTGTGGTTAGACCTTGTGGTCTTTATTACAAAGTTTAAAAAATGAGTCTTATTATATCGTCCCTTCTCATTGTCCTTTTTAATCTTTTTCCTTTTTTAAATAACAGATATAATTGGCCTGTCAGGACTCATCACTCCTTCCCTGGATGAAATGATTTTTGTTGCCAAGGAAATGGAGAGATTAGCTATAAAGATTCCATTATTGATTGGAGGAGCAACCACCTCTAGGTAAGTCATGCTAATGAGCTTTTTGCTCATTTAAATTCTCTTAAGTGCCAATGTTTAAAAACAGTGATAAATTTTGCTTTGTTTTTTGTTCCTTATGCTGAGCACATTTCCCATCTTCGCTGGTGCAAAAGCTATAATACTTTTGGAGCATATTGTAGTCACACTCTGTGACTTTTTGGTCTTTTCTGGATGCCTTTGGCCTTTTTTTTTATTCTTCTGGCTTACTGTTATCTTTTTTCTTAGTCTTAATTTTCTGTTTAGTTCCTAGGAATTCTCCTAAACTCAACACTTTTGAAATCATACTGAGTAGAGAAGCTGTATTTTTTGGCACAAAGATGTTGCTTGAACTTTTGTCCACTCGGTCTTGAAGCAGATATCTGAATAGTTAGAAGTTCCTTTGAACAAATAGAAAACTCATCCAGCTAGAATGAACTGAAGGATCACTTTGGGGAATTGTTTCTGAAAGGGGAACTTTTTGGGCTAGAAGCTGTAAAGAGAAGAAAGTTCAAATGTGATCATGTGATCATTATTTGGTGTCTCAGGTTTTTCTTAGGATCATGATCCTGGTGATACTTGAGAAGAGATGTATTGATTATGGGCACTAGACTTTTTATGATACATTCTTTATGCCACACATTGTTTACTTTGATGGGGCACACTAGAAAGCTGAAGCGTTGAATTTGATGATTCCATAGCATCTACTTTACTTTTTTTTTTAAGATTTGTTTATCTGTTTATTTTTACTATTCATTTGAAAGGTAGAGTTACAGAGAGAGAGAGCAAGAGAGACAGAGAAGTCTTCCATCTGCTAGTTCACTCCCCAAATTGCTGCAACAGCCAGAGCTGAGATGTTCTGAAGACAGGAGCCAGGAGCTGCTCCTGCATCTCCCATATGGGTGCAGGGGACCAAGCACTTGGGCCATCCTCCACTGCTTTCCCAAGCCATAAGCAGAAACCTGGATTGGAAAAGGAGTAGCTGAAACACGATTTGGTGCCTGTATGGGATGATGGTGCCTCAGGCCGAGGCTTAGCCTACGATGCCATAATGCCAGCCCTATTTATTTGAAAGGCAGAGATATGGAGAGAGAAAGATCTTCCATCTACTGGTTCATTCCCCAGTTGACCACAACATCCTTGGCTGGCTAGACCAAAGCCAGCAGCTTCAGCCAGGTTTCCCATATGGGTGGCAGGGGCCCAGGTACTTGGGCTGTCTTATGCTGCTTTCCCAAGTGTATTAGCAGGGAGCTGGTTAGAAAGTAGACCAGCTAGGGATCCAGCTGACTGGATATTGGCATTTAGGTGGCAACTTCTCACTGTGCCAAAACATTTACTTTTCTGGTGCAAAAATGTAATAGAGGCTTGGTCATAGAAATTCCAGAATTCCTTTCACACTAGAAACAACTGTTGAACTATTTGTGTTAGTCATTGTTGTTCACAGAAGTAGAACCAAGAGGTTGAGTTTATATACAGATTGATAGATTTATTCAGGAATGGGCTCATGTGATTATGGGGGTTGGCAAGGCTGAAATCTAGCTGGAGACCAAGGGAAGAGTGGATGTTGCCTCTTCAGTCTGAAGACAGAATGCCTTTTTTTGGGGCCGGCACTGTGGCTCACTTGGTTAATCCTCCGTCTGCAGTGCCGGCATCCTATATGGGCACCGGTTCTAGTCCTGGTTGCTCCTCTTCCAGTCCAGCTCTCTGCTGTGGCCCGGGAGGGCAGTGGAGGATGGCCCAAGTGCTTGGGTCCCTGTACCCACATGGGAGACCGGGAAGAAGCACCTGGCTCCTGGCTGGCTGTAGCAGCCATTTGGGGAGTGAACCAACGGAAGGAAGACCTTTCTCTCTGTCTCTCCCTCTCACTGTCTGTAACTCTACCTGTCAAATAAATTAAAAAAAAAAAAAATGCCTTCTTTCTTGAGAGCATGTACAGGGACTTGATGGGGCCCCTTAGTCTTTATTTATTTATTTGAAAGTCAGAGTTACACAGAGAAAGAAAGAGAGAGAGAGAGGAGAGAGAGAGAGAGAGAGAGAGATTGAAAGAGCTCTTCCATCCACTGGTTCACTCCTCATATGGCTGCAATAGCTGGGACTGAACCAGGCCAAAGCCAGGATCCAGGAGCTTCTTCCAGGTTTTCCACATGGGTAGCAGGGGCCCAAGCACTTGGAACATCTTCTGCTGCTTTTCCCAGGCAAGTAACAGGGAACTGGATCAGAAGTGGAGCAGCCAGAACACGAACTGGTGCCCATATCGGATGCCAGCATCACAGGTGGTACCTTACCTGCTGTGCCACAGTGCCGGCCCTGGGACCTTCTTTTAAGACCTTTTAGTGGTTAATGAGGCACATTGATGTTATGGAGGGTAATTTGCTTTACTCAAAGTCTACTATTGAAATGTTAATCACATCTACATAAGTACTTGCACAACATAATTTAGATTGCAGCTTAACCACAAACTGCATACCAAGGACTAGGCAAGCTTGCACATAAAATTATCCATCATACCATTTATAGTTTGAAAGGATCATTTTTGCAAGTAGCCACATATTTTGTATCTTTTACCCATTCTCTTCTTTTGATACTCAAATGACGCCGTAATTGGACTATTAGTGCTTACATCAGAAAACTGGATTTGTTTTTCCACAAAGAACATACATACTAGTAGGATATGTGACAGAACTGTTCTTAAGGGACCAAATGTTGATAACTGGGATTTTTTTTTCCCCTTAAAGATTTTATTTATTTGAAAGGCAGAGTTGGAAAGAATATGAATCTTCTCTGATTCACTCCCCAAATGGCTGTATTGGTGGGACTGGGACTGGCCAAAGCCAGGTTCCTGGATCTCCATCTGGGACTCACACGTGGGTGGCAGGTGGCAGCACTTGGGCCATCTTCCACTGGTTTCCTAGGCCATTAGCAGTGAGCTAGATTGGAAGCAAAGCAACCATGACTCAAACTGGTACTCATATTGGAATGCCAGTGCTGCAGGCAGCAGCTTAACCTGCTGTCCTACAATGCTGGCTCCAGTAACTGTTATTTTGATGAGTATAATCTTGGGTGATTGATGACAAGCTTAGTAAAGAGAATGATAAAAGAATCTATAGGCTATTGGCAGAATGAGGACCTTTTAAAATCACAGTTGTAAAGTAGAATAAATATTTAAATGAGCAGATGCATTAAAATGCATTATGAGTTATATACATGTGATGTTGGCTTCAAAATAAATTTTTTATATAGTAGGCTATGTAACACTCAAGTTCAGGATCAGGAATTTATTACTTGGCAAGTTGGCAGTTGACCAGATATTTCATTTTGTTGTATCTCTTACACCTCAGAGATTACAGAAAACAAAAAGCCATTCAAAAGCAACATGAGGCCGGTGCTGCGGCTCACTAGGCTAATCCTCCGCCTTGCGGCGCCGACACACCAGGTTCTAGTCCCAGTCGGGGCACCGGATTCTGTCCTGGTTGCCCCTCTTCCAGGCCAGCTCTCTGCTGTGGGCCGGGAAGGCAGTGGAGGATGGCCCAAGTGCTTGGGCCCTGCACCCCATGGGAGACCAGGATAAGCACCTAGCTCCTGGCTTTAGATCAGCACAGTGCGCCGGCTGCAGCGCACCGGCTGTGGCGGCCATTGGAGGGTGAACCAACGGCAAAGGAAGACCTTTCTCTCTGTCTCTCTCTCACTGTCCACTCTGCCTGTCAAAAAAAAAAAAAAAAAGGCAACATGATTGGCCACTAAGGATATATCACTGACAAGATTAGCCTCTTAAGAATTATAGATAAATTCTTTAGTGATTAGCAAGTTAGAATGATTGAGATAAAAAATCACTCATTGTGTCTTCAATGATTGCAAACTATCTGTTCTCATTGTGAAACTGTAAAAAAAGTCATGGGTCCCATGACTTCCCAGAGTTTCTTCTAACTCTCCAGCTTTATTGATGAGCTCTGAATTTTCTGATTCTCTTCTCTCAGTGCCCATTGTAGTTTCTGGAAAATTATTTGGAAAATAAAAGCCAGTAGCGGTGTTTTCCAGGAGCCATCTCCTTCACTGTGGTGCTGGAGCAGTCCTGGGGGCCGATGTGGTGTGGCAGTTAAGCCTCTCCCTGAGACTCAGGTATCCCATTTGGATGCTGGTTTGAGAGCTGGCTGCTCTGCCTCTGATCCAACTCCCTACTAATGTGCCTGAGAAAGCGGTAGAAGATGGCCCAAGTGCTTGGGCCCTTGCTACACTTGTGGAAGACCTGAAAGAAGCTCCAGGCTCCTGGCTTTGGCTTAGCCTAGTCCCAGCTGTTGCAGACATTTGGGAAGTGAACCAGTGGATGGAAGATCTCTCTCTGTCTCTGTCTCTGTCTCCCTTCCTCTCTTTATAACTCTGCCTTTCAAATAAATTAAAAAAAAAAAAAAAACCTTACCAAAAACAAAACAAAAGCACATTGTCCCACAGCATCCAAGACTTGAGTCTAACATCCCCCAAACTGAACAAGACTCTTTCTTCAGCAAGTTCTTATTTTAGTAAACCCTTTTACAGAAGTATAACAGCCAAACAGAAAAGTACCCAAGTCATACAGGTGTATGACTCAATAAGTTTTTACTAAAATAACCATTCCCCACATCATGAAGTAGAACATTAATGGCCTCCTGGGAACCTTGCTGGGATCGCCACCCAGTCATCTTTTCCCATAAAAGTAATCAATAGTTCTGTCTTCCATTACTATAGGTTGGTTTTGCCTACAGTTCATCTTTTTTTTTTTTTTTTTTTTTTTTTTTTACTACTTTATTCCTTTTAGTCTTTTTTTGTTCTACTTAATACATTGGTTGAACTCTTTAATTAACACACAATTATTCTTAGGTATTTAAATTTAACTGAAAAGTGATCCCTGTTAAATATAAGAGTGGGAATAAGAGAGGGAGGAGATGTACAATTCAGCACATGCTCAATTGGACTTACCCCTAATGGTAGAGTTAGAAATTCAATCCCATCAAGGTGGCATGTACCAATGCCAT